TAGATTAATCTAGGCTGGATACCTTTTGTCAGTTGGATACCTTTTTCTGTTGGTACCCCCAAGAATGAGAGCATCCATTCTAGATGGCCTGCAGGAGAACATCTAGCGAAGTATAGCTGCTGTTTAGAGCCACTTTGTGTCTGATCTCAGAAATTTCCAGTGGTGGGCGGGGACAATGAACACAGGCTGAGTATTGCAAAACACAGTATGGAGCTGGAGGAACACAGCAGGCCAGGCAGCATCAGAGGAGCAGGAAAGCTCCAGTTTCTGGTCGGGACCTTTCTTCAGAGTATTTCAGGCTTGCAGACAATGAGATGCATTCAAGGTCCTTTCAAATATGGTGCCTAGAAGTTCAACTTCGGAAAGTCCCATCCAGGAGAAGTCTTCATCTTCCTGCCCCAGAAGATTTGACATTCTGAAATGGAAAGGACTTAAGACATCCCAAGTTGCAATCCCCCGAACAGAAGCAACTCCCACCTTTATGCTTGATGCTATGCTTAATCTGCAAAACAGAAAATTTCACCCATAATTTCAACAAGGAGAAACAAATAGAATGAGAAGCAGAAGAGCCTGCCTTAATTTTCTTGTCACAAAGTCGGGGACACTGTGCCATGTAGCAGTGCTTCTACTTTTGCCTCCATCAGGACAAGGTAACTTAGCACAAGACTTATATTTAATTAGCTTTCTTCATAGTTTATAATTCAAATACTCTCTGATTAAATTCATCCAACTAGGAGGGAGGTAGAATGTTGTTTAGAGGATTGAAGAACTATCTACCTATTTTTACAGCACAAATGATATGTTAGGAGGTGCCAACATTCTGACAGAAATTTAAACTACATAGGCATTTCTTTATTGAGGCAAGCTGTTACAAAGTCTTATTTCATTTGTGTTGTTTTCAGATATCTTTAAATTTTTCTGTGATCTTCCTTGACTGAAATGACTGATGTCAAACATCTACAACCATCTTCCTGTATGAAAGATTTGATTTGCAACATTTTCCACCTGATTTCCAGTGATTCCCAGTTTTGTATTGGTCCCTTGTTGCCACACTCAGTAAAATGTTGTCTTAATGTCAAGGGCAGTCATTCTCACCTTCGCTCTGGAGTTCAGCTCTTTTATTCATGTTTGGACTAAGGGTTTAATGAGGTCAGGAACTGATTTGCCATGGTGGAACTCAAACTGAGTGTCAGTGAACAGGTTATTGTTAAGCAAATGTTGTTTTGGCAATAATATTTGGCTTGCTTTTTCCTGCTTTTTGTGGGCAGGACATACCTGAGAAATTTCTCCCATTATCGGGTAAATGTCAGTATTGTAGCTGTACTGGAACAGATTTGCAAGGGCAAGACTAATTCTGGAGAACAGGTCTTTAGTGTTATTGCCAAATTGTCAGGGCTCATAATCTTTGCAGTATCCAGTGTCATTGGCTGTTTCTTGGGTATCATATGAATTTAATTGCATTGGCAGAAGACTGGTATCTGTGATGTTGGGAATTTCAGGAGGAGGTCGAACTAGATTATCCACATAACACTTCTGGCTAATGATTGATACAAACACATCAACAGTGTCTTTTGCACTGATGCTTTGGGTTTGTCCATCGTTGAGAATGGCGAGGGTTGCAGGCCCTTCTGTTATTTGTTTAATTGTCTGCCACCATTCATGACTGGATGCGGCAGGACTGCAGATTTTAATCTGATGTGTTGGTTGTGGTATCGCTTAGCTCTTGCTGAGCACATGTTGTTTGACATGCAATTAATCCAGTGTATTAGCTTCACCGGGTTGACACTGTTAATTTTGAGATTTAGGACAACAGTTATGTAAGATAGGCAGCTGACTATTTGTAACTAATTTTCAGGTAGTTTTATAACTTTATTAGCAGGTAGAAGCTTAAATATGATACCTTAATAACTTTAGACAGAAAAATTATGCAAACAGTGACAACTGTGATGGTTCACTGAGAAGTTACGATGTGACCCCGATGAGGTTTCCCACCTTATGATTCCAGATGTGAACCTTAAACTGTCAAGGTCCTGGGTGAGGAGAAATGAACAGGCTCCACTTCTCTATTCACCTACAACCCCCACCGTGCCTCCCCACAAACCCCACCCCCCACCCCCCATCAGATGGTTAACCAATTTTCAAAGGATACTGTCCTTGTGGATAAAGGCTAAATTAATTCATGATTTAAAAGGAGCTAATTTAACCAGAAAACAAACTGATGACTTTATTCATTACTAAACATGAGAATAAAAAATAACGCAACACATGTATAAATTGAAAATGATAAGAGGGTAAATAAAAATTCTGAAGGTTAGTATATGGTTCAGTCTCCAGGGTCATTTGGCAAGAGTAGATAGTGGAATGCTTATAGGGGAACAGTCGATTCTGGGATTCTTGACTTTGAAAGTTAGTTGAAATACTTCTGTCCTGACTTCCAGCGGCTTCAGGTATCAGTATCTGTGCTAGTGGAGGTGCTGGAGGCACCTTTGCCAATACTTCCTTGGAGGACTCAGTACTCTCATTCTCAGAAGTCAAGGAGATAGATTTTTGGGGGAACAGGCACTTTCTCCACAGACACAAAAGTAGAAGTTGCTGGAAACGCTCAGCAGGTCTGGCAACATCTGTGAAGAAAAAAATCAGAAATTCTGAGGAAGGGTCACCGGACCCGAAATATTAACTCTGATATTTTTCTTCACAGATGCTGCCAGACCTGCTGAGCATTTCCAGCAACTTCTGTTTTCATTCCTGATTTACAGCATCTGCAGTTCTTTTGGTTTTTACTTTCTCCGCAGAGGTGGTGGACTTCCTGGTAGTACCTGCAAGAGAAAGAAGGTGTGGTGGTCAGTGGCTAAAAGTGGTGTGCAATAGGTGACATTGCTAATGGGGTTAATGTGAGAGCTGCAGTGCAAAGAAATACTGGTATTTACTCGGTTGGTACAGCATAGCTGTCTCTCCATCCCCACAGGACTGGTCCCAGTCTTCTCCTGTGAAGCCAGGATTCTCTCCTCGTAGGAACAGAGGAGTCTGATTTCGGGCACCCCTCCACCAGTTCGAGCCCTTTCTGCCTTATTTTGGCATATCTGGATTGAGAGAAAGGGAGGAACTGAATGAGATGAAAGTCGATGGCACTGCTGTTAATGCTGTTGCAGGTGGTTGAAAGGTGGTGGGGAGCCAGTGCAGATGACCTACAGGGTTAATGCTGTCAGAAGTTTAGGGAGCGTGAGAGTGGGAAGTGTGTACAGCAGCAGAGACAGAGTGAGTGTGAGGTAGTAGAGAGAAGATTGGCATTTACCCTGACAAAGCTGAGAATGTGGTTGACTGAGGAAGCACTAACCCATGTGGTAACCTCAGGATAGGTTGTCAGGGCCTGAGGCATGGCATCTTCTGACAGTTGTCAGGAAAAAGACACCCCTCCTTTGCACCACTCCATCCACCAGGACCTCCAGGCCACTGCTGGAGAATCATCACACCATCTTCCCCTTCTCTAACATGTTCACGTTCTCTCTATGACCAAGCAGTGTCAGAATGCCAGTTCTCATCTGGGTGAACAACGACCTTTCAAATATACTGCAGGTGCCAGGGATGCCATCTTTCAGTGGCTATCCACTGAGTGGCCAGTTGTTCCAGGAACTTGTGTGGCAAGAATGGGCTGGAATTGGACATGACAGATGCATTAAGCAAAGTAGGTAGTTAACGAGGTGAGTTGGTAAGATATGGTGAGAAATTTCACTGGACCTTGTGGTGAGAATCCATCTATTGGACCCATAATTCCAGAGTATTATCCCGGCCATCTGGATTATTAGCCTGTGACATTTCCCATTAATTCACTGATAGAGCATTTCTCAGAATATATTAGCGACCACCAGCTATCCTGCAGTAGTCACAAGCTGTGGTCAGACATGAGTTTTCATCTTTTACAATGCTCTGAAGAGCACATCCAACTTGTACATTCTTTTATCTATTGTAGCATCTCCAATTCTCAAAAGTGGGATTGTTGGCCTCATATTGTAATTGGGCCACTTCCAGATTCCTATCCCAGAAGTGATGCCAACATCATGAATATGATCTAAGCAGTCTATTTAACTTGAACCATGTGTGCAGAAGTATAGAAAATGGTTTTGGCATATTTAATGAATAACCTAAATAGTAGGAAGATTGCAAATTGGGCATTCTGAACTCCATGTCATCCTATTGAGCAGCGCATCTAGATGATTAGGCCAAAACAAAACCCTACTAGGTGCAATGATTATTTCGTATGATGGAGCATAGATCTCACAGATCCTCTTGTCACATTTCTCTGTATGATGTTCCTTTTTGCAATGCACTGTGGCAAAATATATGTGGTGATACATCAAAAATAACGTCTTATTTAAAAAAAAAGCCAACACACTTTTGTATTTTTCCAGTCTTTATTGTGAAATTAAACCTTAAACAGCAATCTGTATATATTTGTGATAACTACCAAACAGGTAGTAGGTGAAAAAGTATGCAAAAGTGCAAATTCACAATTTATATGACCTGATGTGAAAGAAATGTCCTAAGCTATTTGAAACAGCAAAGTAAATCTTTAAATAAAATTTCAAAAATTTTGTTAAACAAATTAATTCATAAATTCACAACAAAAGTAAGATACAGAAACTTTTCATTTATAGTGGAAACATTTTATAAAATGACATCTCCTTCAAAAATTACTGTCTGTGTGAGTTTAGTGGAAATGGAAAAGTTGTTAATACTTTTTTTTATTTTACTATTACTTTTGTAAATCATTTGCTTGTGAATTCCTAGCAGGCTTGCCTTCCCTGAAGGATATTAGTGAACCATTAACATTTTCACAACAGAATCACAGCTATTAAATGTAGTCATTATTTTAATGCCTGACCATAAATTAAAAGTTTTATTGAATTTCACTCCACAACTTACCATGAAATAATTTGAGATTGTGAATTCCATGCTGATATTGTGGCACCAAAACCATATCTGCTTGACTTTTGGAAATACAAAATTAATATCTCAAACATTAACTCTTTATTTTGAAAACTAGGATAAAATGATGTCAAAATGAGCTTTTCATTAAAATAAGTTACATTTTTAGATCTTGATGAATCCCACTCAACAAATCCATTTAGGAAGAATTAAATGTTGCATTGTGTCTACTTTTCACCTACATCTGTACTCTGTTGTCCATTTGTTGAGGTCTAGTTGGTTTGTGGTAAGCAAGTATCCTTTAATATATTACAGGTCACATTATTAACAGAAATCAACCTGAAACCTTAAAAGTTCTTCTGGCTTCTTTGCTTCCCAGTTAATTCGAATGCAAATAAAATACTGGTTCTCTTATCGCTTCAACAGCTCACTGCGCCCACTTTTTCACAGCTATTTTGCATATTATATTGGAGCTAATTAGTCTCCCAACATTCTTGCTCTGAGTTACAAGCCAACTTTTCAAGTTTTACTATTTCTTTTACAGCTCCATTTCACAATTTTCCTTGCTGCCCGTCCTCGTTGACAATTCCAGGTTACAAACAGAGATCTTTCAACATGAGGGGTAACTGTAGTCTCCAGCCCACTACTCCACAGAACCAAGCCCTAGCTGTCCCTGTACAAAGCTAATTTACCATTCAGTCCCACTTTCTATTTTTCTCTCAGCAGTGGAGATTATAGTCAGTTCATTAATGGGCCAATAGATTCTAGGCAAAAATCCCCGGTGCAGTGCACTCGAGGTGGATACAGAGTTTGACCAGACAGAATGGGTGCAGATTAAAGGGATAGGCAGAATAGTCGAAAAAGAAAGAAGTAGCATTTTTATAGGTAGTGACTTCTTTTAATATACTAAATTTTTATTTGCTTGCCTGGTCTATTACCTTAGATTTGTTGATATAATTATAATAATGCTCCAACCACATTCACAAACATTATTATTGCAAGCAATTTTCTATTCCTTCGAGCAAGGGTGGAGGCAAAGATCACCTTGTACAAAAAGTAAACAAAGAAACAAATTCAAAGAAGAAGATAAGCTCCTGGACTAATTTCAATCATCTGAGAATGTCAGACAGAGAGGTTTGCATTCCTAATTTGCATAGATTATTTATCTGCCAGGAGATTACCATTCTGAATTTTAGGCATCTTACCGGGCAGGCAAAAATGACACCCATTCAAAGCTGGCAGGTTAGGTCTTTACACATGCAGGGATATTGGGACCTGACTGATAGTCGAAATGCAGAAGCCTTGATAGCTTTCCAACAGGTGAGCACAACATGAAGAGGGGCCAGGATCAGAAGAGGCCAAAGCAGCTAAATTATTTTTCATTTCATTGTGGACCAGGATGAGCCACCAGAAGCACACTCAGAAGGGCATCTTTTACTTTATTAGTTTGGCACTTCAATTTCCCATAAAGCTACCCCAATAGGTTCAATGATTAAGATTTGTCAAATTTTATCAAGAGCGGTGACATAAATCTGCACAAACAGTGCCAAAAGTACTGGTAGTGAATTGGCTGCTGATTATTTTCATTGCATCCATTGGTTTGGAAAATCTTCCCAAAATTTCAAATCACGTAAATGCGTTACTTTGTTGCAGACCCTTATCCCTTCACCCAATTCCAAATGTGATGCTCTTGTCAGATGGCACCAAAATATGATCCCAACATATATCTGTGATCTGTGGGTGATATCCATACCCTAAGATTCTCTGCCACTCTTTGCTCCTGGCAGAGACTGAACCAGCTGGATTTAAGTGAAACCTGTATGGCAAAATATTCTGGGCTATGTTTCTAGAACAATGCATAAGCTTCTACTTCACATGCACTACATTAAAATTAGATCATAACATCATGTTCCTATTTACATTTTATACATTCCTCCCATTCACTGTCCAATGAATTTACTGAAGTTTTTCAGAACTGACAAGGACTTGGATAGGATTTAATCAGATTAATATAGATGGATAAAATATACCTAAGAAACTGCTACTAGGAATGGCACAAATAAAAAACGGAACAAACAAATGGAAGCTATAAACTGGCTAGCAGAACTCAATGTTAGATTTCATTGCTTGCATTTTGTGAAATATTTGATGGTAAGAAAAAGAATAAATAAAATGCGCTGGCAAAACATTGTTGTCCCCTATTCACAAATCACCAAACCATTCCACTTTTTGGGGAATTGTTTTCTCTACTAAGGTGCAAAATACCACAAAACCTGTCCTTTATTATTCGGGATAATACATGAAAACTTCAAATACTCCAGAATGAGCAAAGCAAGATGAAATGGATTAATAAGGATGTTTCTTTTTCATCTTTGCCATATACCGTAGAAATCAACTAAGGAAAGCATCATTTCCAATGTTGGTTTGGTATTCACGTTTTCCACAGACAAACAATCTAACTGACTGTGATTACGTTTCGTATCAAACTGTGATGTTAGCGCAGTTATTCTGATGGCCAGGGAATCGTCGGGAGAGCGAAGGCTGAAATTGGAACAATAAGGAATCCTCAGCATGACAGACCCCTAAAGAATTTCCAGTGGGCAATTCCTCGCTCCAGGAACCTTTCAAAAGAGTCCAATAAAGGCAGAGAATCCAGAGGAATCCAACTCACTTAAAATTAAGTTACCCAGGAAAAGCTAGAGGATTAAAAACCCACTCTAACTCCTAAGTAATGATTTAACTGACCCCCTCAACCACATCCTCCTCAAACCACTAACACCATCATCTCCATCCAGCAGCCAGACCCCCACTGAATCCAATACCATTTCCCCACAACTGGCCAGTCTAACCCCTGCAAACCCAATACCCAATGCCCGGCCAACTGAACACCTGCACTGTTTGGATCCCCCCCACCAGACTTTACATCCCACCAGTCTGACACTGGATTTGTGAATGGGGATTCCTAGAGAGGTTTGCAACAGAAGGTTCCTGACCAGGAATCTCCAGCCTGGAGGTTACCTAAAGGTAAATGTGTCACTTTCAATTGAATCTGGATTGGAATACCTGGGCTGAGAGTGAAAATGGTCTGCTCCAACAATGTGAAGCAGGTTGATAGTGAATCATCTGGCAAGTTTTCATCAGATCTGATCTTCTTTCCACTGAGAATTCATATCTCAATTGTTTCCGGAAACTCACTTTCTAGACTGTTAGATGAACGTACTTGGTTTGAAATTTAAAGTCTTCAAAAGTTCATGGGTATCAATGGAAGATGAAAACAAGCAGGTGAAAAATCAGGTATCAATCTGCTCATTTGCACTGTTGGTGCAGATTAATGTCACCATGTTTATCTCTCTAACATGACTGTGATAGTCCCAGTTAATTAATTAAAATGGATATAGGTCTAAATCCAAACAATGCTGTAATTAAATTAATCACTTAGATATTGAAATGAAGAAAATTATGTGAGGTATTACATGGTTCATACAGATTGAATAATGAAAATGGCAATGATCAAAATTAGAAACAAACATATGACCATGCTCTTAAGAAATTCCTTTGATCACTGTTTTTGGTCTCCCTGCTATAGGAAAGATGTCATGAAACTTGAAAGGATTCAGGAAAGATTTACAAGGATGTTGCTAAGAATGGAGGGTTTGAGCTATGGGGAGAACCTATATAGGCTGGGGCTATTTTCCCTGGAGCATCGGAGGCTAAGGAGTGACCTTATAGAGCTTTATAAAATCATGTGTAGGGTGAATAACCAATGTCTTTTCCGCAGGGAAGTGGGGTCCAAAACTAGGGATCATAGGTTTAAGGTTAGAGAGGAAAGAATTTAAAGGGAACTAAGGGGCCTTTTATATGCAGAGGTTGGTGCATGTATAGAATAAGTTGCCAGGGGAGGTGGTGGAGGCTGGTACAATTACAACATTTGAACGTCATCTAGATCGGTATATGAATCGGAAGGGTTTAGAGGGATATGGACCAAATCCTAGCAAATGGGATTAGATTAATTTAGGATATCTGGTCAGCATGGACGAGTTGGATGAAAGGGTTTGTGTCTGTGCTGTACATCTCTACGACTCTACATGGATATACTAACTGAAATAAATGGACTCATGACTTGTTAAAATGTTCACGTAGAAATTTCAAATTATTGAGTGAAACATTCTTCAGAACCATTTAACAAGTATGTGGCCCAGATTACCTTTTATGATATTGCCCACACTCTTACTAGACAGCCATTGAGAAACATTAAGCTACTATGCTTCTGAGCAGATTCTCACCTCCTTTAACATGAGGCTTTCCATTAAGATTACAGAATTAGTGAATTTATCTTTACATTTACAAAAGCAAGCTGACACTAGTTTATGAAACATCATCAGTACTTCAGGGTAACATTACAACCTTGAACAAATTCATTTTTGTTTCTGAAACACAATTATGAATTACACAGGGGACGAAAGTGACTGATATCACAGACTCGTATTAAAGTTGTGTTACTATATGGTATTGAGTGCATTTTCCATTCTTGTATTTCTGCTACAAAACCTGGTCTGCTGAGAGTGCACATTGGAAAATAGAGAGCACGAAGTCATGATTTTCTTTCTTCAATTAATTAAGTTTTTTTTTAAGAAAATATTGATTATATTTTACCTTACATCTTACTTTCATTTGTTAAGGAGTTAACATTTAGTGGGAAGCTAGCCCCTGTAACTCAAATGGAGAAATGCACAAGACTGAAATATACCAAACAAGGTGACAGTCAATGTTGACTAAAGTGATGTCTGTAAAAACATCATGGTTTACCTTGGTGCTTCTGGATCAGTGCAGGGGAAAAGACTCAAGGTTGTCACATCTAGTTGCTGTCCAGTATTCACTGTGCAAAATGACATTTGTGCAGATGTCAGGTGAGCACAGGAGAATAACCCATTATCACGCTATATATAGACTCAAATATAAAGAATTACATCGGTGCTGAATGACAGAAGGGTGGCAGATGACCCCAAAATTACCACTGGAAAAATGGGAGGAATACTGGGGGAAAGAGAAATCACAGCATGAAAATATGATGTGTCATCGAAACAATCACAGTTCCTCATTACCAATTTTATCAATTGGCAAAGAATACCCTATGGTCTTCTTTTTATTTTGCGCAACACACCCAATATGAATGAAAAGTAACCCTGCAAGTAAAGAAAAGACTATCCCAACTGGAGCTGCCATGAAAGACCAACCAAATTGAACTTTAAGATTTGGATGTGAGCATGATTTAGGTGGCTCAGCGATCTGGTCCACCACAGCAACGAGAGCTTGAATCCAAAAGCTGTACATAATAATGGAAAATGTGGACAAAATACCTGGAAGCACAAAAAGATTGTAATCAGTATGGTACACAATATAGATTTTCTGTTTCATTTATAAAGATTTTGAACAGTTACCGACCGTGCAAAGATTAATTTGAAGTATTAAGCGAAAACTGGGTTCCCAAGTGGGAACTAAATACCCAAGGATATGTGTCCTATCAAAAGGACAGGCAAATGGGCAGAGGGGGCATGGTTGTCTTGCTAGTAAGAAATGAAATTAAATAGAAAGCAAGAAGTGATATAAGGTCAAGGGTGTAGAGTTGAGAAACTGCAAAGAAAAAGAGACCCTGATGGGAGTTAGGTACAGGTACCCTAGCAGTAGTCAGGATGTGAGGGAGAAAATAAATCAGGAGATAGAAAAGGCATGTAAGGAAGGAAATTACAATAATTATGGGAGATTTCAATATGCAGTTGGACTGGGAAAATGAGGGTTGCTAGTGGATTCCAAGAAAAGGAATTTGTAGAAAATCAATGAGATGGGGTTTTTTTTGGAGTAGCTTGTGGCAGACCCCACTTGGCAACAGGCAATTCTGGACTTAATGATGCTTAATGAAGCAGACTTGATTAGGGAGCTTAACATGAGGGAGCCAATAGGGGACAGTGACTGTAATATGACAGAATTCAAAATGCAGTTTGAGAAGGAGAAGCTGTAATGGTATTACGGCTGAGTAAAAGTAACTACCAGGATATGATGGAGGAGCTGGACAGAGCTGATTGGAAGAGGAGCCTAACAGGGAAAACTGTGGAACAGCAGATGGCGGCAAAGTAGAACGCTCCTGTTGGAGCTCCACTGCTCAACCTATTTTTTTTTCCCTCCTTTTCCTTTCTTTCCCTCTTTTTTTCTTCTTCTCTGCCCTCAGCACCGGAGTCATCAGCAAAACCAGACCAGCGAGCCCTCGTGCCCCCGAACACCGCGAGCAGCGAGCCCTACAGCAACGCTTGGATTGCGAGCCCAGGAGCAGCGCGGGGTCCGCTGCAGCACGTGGGGAAGCAGCCCCGGGAGAACTGCACGGGCAGCGAGCGGGAGAAAGCAAACTGAGGCGACCGGCTGTGAATGTGGGAGCTGGCAGGCTGAGGTGGCAGTGGAGGGGCCGTGCCCCCCACCCCCCGAGCGATGTACGGACCGAGGAACACTCTCGGTGGCGCAGTGTAGGTTGGGAAGCCCGGAATGGGACATTCTTGGTGGCACAGTGTGGGCTGGGAAGCCTGGAGCAGGAATCTGGTGACACCATGCAATAGCAGTGGAGAAGGAAAGTCTGGACTCTCTTTAAGTTATTTTTTTTAACTACTTCATTCTAAGTTAAAGCTTATGCACAACAACAGTACACACTTTTCACTGTGCTTTGTATTGAATACACGTGACAATAAAGGATATTCAAATTCAATGGCAAGAGTTTTCGGGAGCAGTTCAGCAGGCACAGCAGAAACACATCCCAAGGAAGAAAAGACATACTAAGGGGAGGACAAGGCAACTGTGGCTGACAGGGGAAGTCAAGGACAGCTCAAAAGCAAAAGAAAAATCATACAATGTGGTGAAGACCAGTGGGAAGCCAAAGGATTGGGAAGCCTTTAAAATCCTGCAGAGGATAACTAAAAAAAACAATAAGGCCGGAGAGAGAAGATGAAATATGAGGGTAAGCTAGCTTGCAATATAAAAGAAGATTGCAAGTGTTGTTTTTCACTATATTAGATAAGATAAGACAGAGGCAAGAGTGGACATTGGACCACCGAAAAGTGAGGCTGGAGAAGAAGTAGTGGGGAACAAAGAAATGGTGGAGGAACTGAATTGACACTTTGCATCAGTTTTCATGATGGAAGGCACCAGTAGAATACCAGAACTTCAAGAGGGTCGGGGTAGCGGTGTGTGCAGTAGCCATCACCTAAGGCGAAGGTGCTGGTGAAGCTGAAAGCCCTGAAGGTGAATAAATCACCCAGACCAGATAGACTACACTCCAGGGTTCTGAAGGAGATAGCTGAGGAGATTGTGTGCTGAGCTTTCAGGAATCACTGGTTTCAAGGAGGATCCCAAAGGACTGGAAAATAGCCAATGTAGCACCCCTGTGTAAGAAGGGAGGAAAGCAGAAGAGAGGAAACTACAGACCAGTTAGCCTGACCTTGGTTGCTGGTAAGATTTTATAGTACATTATTAAGGAAGAAATTGCAGAGTAATTGGAAGTGCTTAGTAAAATAGTGTTGAGTCAGCACAGCATCATCAAATGGAGGTCATGCCTGACAAATCTGTTAGAATTACTTCAGGATGTAACAAGCAAATTAGACAAATCAAAGCCAGTGGGCATGATCTATTTGGATTTCCAGAAGCCTTTTGACACATTGCTACACAGGAGACTGCAAAATAATATAAGAGCCCCCTGTGTTAAGGGCAAGGTATTGGCCTGGATAGAGGATTGGCTGACTGGAAGAAGGCAGAGAGTGGGGATAAAGGGGTCGTTTCCAGGATGGCAGCCAGTGACTAGAGGAGTTCTGCAGGGGGTCAGTGTTGGACCCATAATTATTCATATTATACATTAACAAATTTGATGAAGGAATCAAGGGTGTTGCTGCTACATTTATAGGTGACACAAAGATAGGTGGAGGAAAAGATAGTGTTGAGGGGCGGGTAGGCTGCAGAAGGACTTGGACAGGCTAGGAGAGTGGGCAAAGAAGTGGCAGATGGAATGAAATGTGGGAAAGTGTGAAGTCATGCACTTTAATTGGAAGAATAGAGTTGTCGACTATTTTCTAAGTGGGGCAAAGCTTCGGAAATATGAAGCACAAGGGGATTTAGGTGTACTAGTTCAGGATTCTCTTTTAGTTAACACACAGCTTCAGTTGACAGTTAGGAAGGCAAATGGAATGTTAGTATTCATTTCAAAAGAGTTATAGACCCAAAAGTAGAGATGTACTGCTGAGGCAGTGGTATGATTGATAGGGCAAGCATTCGGTGAGCTGCAGTGGGCAGTTTTCAACTCACTTTTACCTATTAGGAAATTGTGCCATCTAGTTTCTTGGAAGAAGTGTGAATTGGAATTGGGACTTAAATACAGTGAGTTGAGGCTTTAAAGAGAGGCAAATAGATGGAAATAAAGTAGTTGCCACTCACAAGAGAGATTCTGAAGTCACCGTAGAAAGCTTGAGGGAATCAGCAGAAATTTTCTCAGATGTTAAGAATCTATTTTTTTTCATCTGTGCCCTATTTTGTCACGATACTCACAACTGAAGGGCGATGAGGGTCCCATGGTGCTGCCGCTGGACTAATGTTCTGAAGATTTGCCTAATATTCTGAAGATTTACATGATATTCAGAGCAGACAGTAGAATTTGAATTCCATAAAAATTTTGGATTGCTTTTAACGTGATGTGCAAGCAAACTGAGGGTGGTTGAGAACAGAACATTTTCACACAGCGAGATTGTTAGCGAATGGAATTGCCTTGCCTGAAAATGTGGTGGAGGCAGGTTCAATTGAGGCATTTGAGAGGGCATTGGATTTTGTTTTTGGATAGTAATGGTGTGCAGAGATATGGAGAAAAGGCAGGAGATTGGCACAAGATAATAGAGCCAGTACAGGCCTGATAGGCTGAGGACTTCCTTCTGCATGGTAATAATTCTGTGTTTCTGTCATCTCTCTGCACCCAGGAGGGGAATATTCTATCCATTGTTCTGATTAAAATAGGAGGAGCACACTAACTCGCTCTTGTTCCAATGCTCTACTGGTCACAAGATAAATTTATTGGTTTTACTGAGTTCCTGATATGGCAAATCATATTCTTCCTCAATATTGAATTTAGAATGACAGTTATTTAATATACACAAAGTTATTGATTTATTCTGAAACAAAACTTCTTCAACAAAAATGCTGAATCATTTAACATACAGATGTTTTGCGTGAAGAGAGTTCAAATATTCAAGATCAACAGTTATCTGAAATCACATGGTTTCCAAAGAGTTCCTTGTAAAAAAAAAATCACTGCCCTTCCATTAACTTCTTAACAAATAACAGGCATCTAACAATCTTTCAATCCAAGTCCACCAAAATTGTTACATAAGAAGCCTTCATCACAAAAGATACCATAGCAACATACCAATGAGATTAGCCATTTTACGACACAACTAGTAAATTAGAAAAGTAGCATTCTCAAACAAGCAGGTGATTTCATTTGAAAAACGGTTTACTTTAAAGGATCCAAGGTGTAATTACCAAGATACTCCACTTTCTTCAAGAAGGGAGATCTTCCAGCTGTTTCAAGAATATAAAATTTTGTAAGTTATAATTATGTAAGACATAAAATTGGGCTTCTGACGAAATAAATCATTGGTTTTCGGATGTTTTTAAACTTTATAATTTTTGTTACCAGGTAGAAAGTGGCATTTGAATGGTTTCTAAATCCACTATTCTAAAACCGTTTTTAGCATGCATCCTATCACTTTTCCTTCATTTTCTGACAGGGTAACTTGTAACAGAAGAGATGTTGATCTAGTACAAAAGGGAAAGGCTTAAAAAGGACTGAGTCAATTA